TTTTTTTTTTCTTTTGTTGCTTGTGCTTTTGGGGTCTTATTCATAAAGCCTTTCCCCAGTCCTACTTCCTGAAGTGTTTCCCATATGTTTTTCTTTAGTAGTTTTACAGTTTCAGGTCTTATACTTAAGTCTTTAATCAATTTTGAGGCAACTTTGTTATATGGTGGGAGGTGCAGGTCTAGTTTCATTCTTCTATACATGGATGTCCAGTTTTCCCAGCACCATTTTTTGAACAGGCAGTCTTTTCTCCAATGTATGTTCTTGTTGCTTTGGTTAAAGATCAGTTGGCTGTACATACATGAGTTTATTTCTGAATTTTCTATTCTGTTCCATTGCTCCAAGTGTCTACTTTTATGCTAGTACCATGCTGTTTTGGTTACTATAACTTTGTAGTATAATTTCAAGTCAGGTAGTGTTATGCCTCCAGATTTATTTACTTATTTATTTTTGCTTGGGATTGCTATGACTATTCAGAGTCTTTTGTTGTTCCATATGAATGCTAGGATTGTTTTTTCTATTTCTGTGAAGAGTGACATTGGTATTTCAATGGGTATTGCACTGGATCTGTAGATCACTTTGGGTGGTATGGATATTTTCACAATGTTGATTCTTCCAATCCAAGGTCATAGAATGTCTTTCCACCTTTTTGTGCCTTCTTTTTTTTTTAAAGATGACTGGTAAGGGGATCTTAACCCTTGACTTGGTGTTGTCAGCACCACGCTCACCCAGTGAGTGAACCGGCCATCCCTATATGGGATCCAAACCGTGGCCTTGGTGTTATCAGCACCGCACTCTCCCCAGTGAGCCACGGGCCAGCCCCTTTTGTGCCTTATCTTCTTTCAGTAGTGATTAGTAGTTCTCTTTATAAAAATCTTTCATGTCCTTAGTTAAATTGATTCCTGGGTTTTTTGAGGTTTTTTTGGTGAGTATTGTAAATGCACTTTCATTCTTGATTTCTTTTTTTGCTAGTTCACTATTGTAGAGTAAAATGGCTACTGATATTTGCATGTTGATTTTGTATCCTGCAACACTACTAAAACTGTTAACTGGCAATAGTTTTTTGGCAGAGTTCTTAGGTTTTCCTCTGTATAGGATCAAACAGGGACAGTTTGCCTTCATCTTTTCCAATCTAAATGCCCTTTATTTCCTTCTCTTGACTGATTGCTCTGGCTAGTACTTCTAATACACTGCTGTACAAGAGTCGTGATAGTGGGCATCCTTGTTTTGTCCTTGTCTGTTCTTAAGGGAAAAGCTTTCATTCAATATCATTCAATATAATTCAGGATAATATTGCTGGTGGGTATATTATATATGGTTTTTAATGTGTTGAGGGTATATTATATATGGTTTTTAATGTGTTGAGATTCTTTCCATACCTAATTTGATGAGCATCTTTATCATGAAGGGATGCTGAATTTTGTCGAGTACTTTTTCTGTGTCTACTAAGATAATCATATGGTTTTCGTCTGTGATTTTGTTCTTGTGTCACATTTATTGACTTGCATACATTGAACTATCCTTTTCTCCCTGGGAATGAATCCCACTTGATCATGGTATATAATTTTTTTAATGTGTTGCTATATTCTGACTGCTAGTATTTTGTTGAGAATTTTTACATCTATGTTTATCAGAGATGTCGGCTTGTGGTTTTCTTCTGTTGTGTATCTTTGTCTGGTTTTGGTATCAGGGTGATGCTGGCCTCATAGAATGAGTTAGGGAGAATGGCCTGTTTCAAATTTTTGGACTAGTTTGAAAAGAATTTGTATTAATTCCTCTTTAATGGTTTAGTAGAATTCAGCAATAAAGTCATCTGGTCTTGGGCTTTTCTGTGCTAGAAGTCTGCTGATTACTGCTTCAATCTCATTGCTTTTTACTGGTCTGTTCAGGTTTTCTGTTTCTTCTTGGCTCAGTCTTGATAGTTTGTATGTGTCCAGAAATTTATCCATTTCCTCCAGGTTTTCAAATTTGTTGTTGTATTGTCTATAATAGTCTCTAATGATTCTTTCGTTTTCTGTGATATTGGTTGTAAAGTCTCCTTTTCATTTCTGATTTTTGTTATTTGGGTTTTTTTGTTTGTTTTGTTTTGGTTTTGGTTATAGTAACTAATGGTTTGTCTATTTTATTGATCTTCTTAAGAAAAAACTTTTTGTTTCATTGATGTTTTGTATCATTTTTTAGGTCTCTATTTCATTTAGGTCTGCTCTGATCTTAATTATTACTTTCCATCTACTAACTTTGAGTTTGGGATTGGATTATAATTGTTTTTCTAGTTCTTTGAGGTGTAACATTAGGTTTTTTATTTGAAATATTTCTATTTTTTGATGTGTTTATTGCAACAAACTTCCCTCTTACTAGTGCTTTTGTAGTATACCACAGGTTTTGATATGATGTGTCTTTATCTTCCATGGTTTCAAGAAATGTTTTGATTACCTGTTTAATTACTTCTTAGAACCATAGGTCATTTGGGATCCTGTTGTTAAATTTCCTTGTATTTGTACAGTTTCCTGTGTTTTGCTTATTAATTTCTAGTTATAATCAATTGTGGTCTGAAAAGATACTTCTGATAATTTTGATTTTTTAAATTTTGTTGAGACTTGATTTGTGATGGAGTTTGGATGTGTTGTCCTCTCCAAAACTCATGTGCAAATTTGATCCCCAAAGTGGCAGTGTTGGAAACTGATTGGGTCATGGGGGAGGATTCCTCATGAATGGATTAATGCTGTCCCTGGGGACAGGGGGATTAATGAGTGAGTTCTAACTCGATTAGTTCCCGTGAGAGCTGGTTGTTTAATAGACCCTGGCACCTCCTCTCTCACTCTCTTGCTTCCTTTTGCCATGTGATCTGCTTGTACACACCAGCTGCCCCAGAATTGTAAGCCAAACAAAACTCTTTTCCTTATAAATTACCCAGTCTCAGGTATTTCCGTTATAGCAACACAAAACGGACTAATACAATTTGTGACCTAACATATCCTGGAGAATGTTCCATGTGCTTATGAAAAGAATGTATATTTTGTAGTTGTTGGATGAAGTTTTCTAATAATTAGATCTTCCTTAAAATAAACTTACCTTCTTCATGAGGTTGTAAACTTCCCATCACTGGAAGATTTTAACAGAGACTGGATAACTACTTATCTGAGATCCTATAGAAAGAATACATGTAGAAGGCTGACAAAGATAAGCTCTAAGATCCCCTTTAAGATTCTCCATCTTGAAGATTTTGTTGCGAAGAGTTCTTTTCAGTTGTTATCTACCATTTTCATCCATAGCAAAGCAATAAACAATGTAAAATTTATTTTTGTAATGTTACATATTATTCTATTTATAAGATGTATAATCTTACCCATATTCCCTTCAGTATAAATATTCACCTTACACTCATCTGACAGCATTAGTTTAAAGCAGACTTTGGGCATGCTGTTCTGTTCATAGTGAGCTATTTGATGCCCTTGAGTGAATCACCTTTTGTTTCCTTACCTATAGAACTGCCTTCCTGGTAAACCAAGGGGATCGATGAATGCTCTTTCCAGGAGCATCAATTGGTCATTCATGATTCTCACTGCAATGGGACTTTGAGAACAGAAATACATAGTTATAACCCTTCCCATGGAACTATGTTTTACAATGATATTAAATAAATATAAGGCATGGGAAAATAAACTTCTAAAAGCAATAGATTTTAAACAATATACATATTAATACATTAATGCTTTGCAAGATAAACTATAACAGCAAAGTCATCTTGTCTAATATTTAAAATAAGCAGAGAGACCTACTGGGAAATTGTTTTGTTTTCCAAGAACACAGAGTGATCAAAAAGAACTGAATGACACTCTTTACTTTTTTCTAGGAGGGTAGGCAGGTCTCTTGGAAAGATGGACAGAGAAAACTATTAAGTTGTTCCTGATAAGCCATTCTGTTCTACTGTGAAAGAAAGGAGCAGAATAAAGGCTGAGCAACAAATAGTGAATGAAGTTTCTAGGAGTCTGTAAGAAGGGTGGAGACAGCTGTGCACAGTGGGTGGAGAAATCCCTTTTCACACTTAGAATCTTCAGACTTTATTTTGGGGGAGTTGAATAAGTTTCCTGGGCTCTCCTACCATCTAAGGGAGAGAACAGCCCCTCAAGACGACTGATATAGCTTTCTGACAATACAGGAGGTGGGGAAACATTGTGGTTACATCTGAAAAAATAAATGTGAAATGTACTAAATTGTGGAGCAATTTATGCTTATTACATGTTTTACTTTGAATATACCTTTGATGGAATTTGGATGTTGTTGTCCCTTCCAAAACTCATGTGCAAATTTGATCCCCAATGTGGCAGTGTTGGAAACTGATTGGGTCATGGGGATGGATCCCTCATTAATGGATTAATGCTGTCCCTGGGGGCGGGGGATTAATGAGTGAGTTCTCACTCTATTAGTTCCCGTGAGAGCTGGTTGTTTAATAGACCCTGGCACCTCCTCTCTCACTCTCTTGCTTCCTCTCGTCATGTGATCTGCCTGTACCCGCCAGCTGCCTGCCACTTTCCACCATGATTAGAAGCAGCCTGAGGCACGTGCCAGATGCAGCTGTCCCAGAATTGTAAGCCAAATAAACCTCTTTTCCTTATAAATTACCCAGTCTCAGGTATTTCCTTTATAGCAACACAAAACAGATTAATATTTTCAACTTAAAAGTGGCAAGAAATTAAATGAAATGTAAAAAAAAATGTATCAATGAAAAATAATTTCTAACTAATGCACAGGGGTATTGGTAAGGGACTGTAGTGAAATATATAACAAATGCAGTTAAGCACATAGAACTATGAATTACCAGCAACAGTCAGAATTCTCATCATGCAAAGTCCTAAAGACATATTTTTTGGCCCTTGTCTTGGGATGGGTATTTAGTCTACCATTCAGAGCAGTTGCTCCTCAAACCTTAATGTTAGTATAAATCACTTGGGGGGGGGGGGGGAGTATTGTTAAAATGCAGAATCCTAATCACTATGTCTTGGATGGGGTCTAATGCTCTGCCTTTTTAACAAGCTCTTAGGCAATGCTGATGATGCTGGTTTGCAGATCATAATTTGAATAGCATAATTTTAATTTATAACTGAATGCTTTTATGAGTGAAAACAGTTCATTCTAGTGACCAGATTGCTTTTCAAAAGAGCAGGCATCTGAAACTTACTTATTAAGATCAACTTGTGTGAGCCTTCTATGAAAATCTGTAGCAGCCTCTGAGAAGTTTTTCACAGCAGAAAATAAGGAGTCTTTTAAAAATAGAAAAGTAGAAGAAAAATTAGTAAGCACAGTGCTTCACATTTGAGAGGTTCACTTTCTTGCCCTCTGCATTCTGGACTGATATGACTGAGTAGATGCTGAAACCATTTTCCTACTGAGCCTTCTGGCAAACTCATTAACAGTATTAGAAAATATCATCACAAAAAATAGTGCATGATAACTAAAAATAGCTAATTGATTCTTAATAAAATAACTTTCAAAAATCAAGGACACAAATAATTCCTTAACCC